GTGTGTGTGTGTGTGTGTGTGTGTGTGTGTGTGTGTGTGTGTGTGTGAGGCTGTGGGAGTGTATGATTTATGTGTGTGAAAATGAGAGACGGGGAGAGTTGTGTAATCTGTTCATTTTGTGTCTCCTGTCTCCCCCCCTCTCTCTGGCCCCCTGGCTGCCAGGCGTCACACCAGTTTATAATAAGGACCCCAAAAAAAGTTGTAGAGTGAACGGACTGAAAGAGAGAGAAAAAACAGAACCCTTCCCACTCTCCTAAAATCACGGGGAGTGACTGTGACAGGAGGAAGGGGACAGAGAGAGAGAGAGAGAGAGAGAGAGAGAGAGAGAGAGAGAGCTGAAGAAGCCCTCGCAGGATTTCACCACATTTCTTTCAGGACCGCACAGACAGGAACAGACCACAATCCGATCACTAAACCTGGACTGATAATCAATAGCTTTTATTAGTCGCGGAGTGAGGACTGTTGTGGGAGACTCTTGGAGGAGCATGCGGCTCGGTTTACTATTCAGGTAAAACTTTGACTTTTACTGCTGCTGCAACCTGCTGCCTCTCTCAGTCCGCTTGTACACAACATCACATGGGGGGTTGCATCCTCCTTTGAGTGGGGCATGGTGTGTTGAGCGTGGAAGAGATTTTATAAAGTTGTTTTGTTTTGTGGCGAAGTTTGGACTTTTACGCGCGACGCCTTCTTGTTGCGCACTGCGCTTTGCAGGATATATGATAGGAATTTACCCGAAGACATCTGGGTTTAGGTTAGAGTCTTTCTCCTCAGGGCAGATTTTTGTGAATTTCCCCTCTGTTGCATATCTCTGTCCCCCTCTCTCTTTCCCTCTGTCCCCGCGGCTCTGAGTTCATTCTACAATGTGCCACTGTAGCTGCCAGGAAAACGTGGACCCGGGTAGGGGGTCCTTACTTCGGCCTCAGCGGCTCTGTTGTGTCGGGCTGTGCGGGACCTTTGTCTGTGTTTTTCGGGGTATCTGATGTGGGGAAGCTTCCAGAGACCATGGCGGTGCACCACACTAGGAAGAAGGCACCAATTACCCAGACTACATGTGGCTTGCGGACTCGTGGTTGTGGTGATGGTTTGGTTCTCGTGGTGACCGCTGCATGGTCATAGCAAGTCGTTTAGTATCATGTTCAGGCTATTTTCTTGGCAGATGAAGAGATGGTATTCCACTTGTTTCTTGTGCACTTGTGTCTGCAACTTCATGGAGATTGTTGTGGCAACTGCTGGTTTTCTTAAAAACAAGTATATTTATCAGAAACGTTTCCCCTTTAAGGGAAATGTTAGGCTTTGATGACTCAATATATATGTGTATAAATATATATGTGTATATATATATATATATAATATAAAGATGCTCTAGTGGGGAATGTAGTTTTATGTCAAGATTATGAACACTAAATTTAAAGGGGGCATCACCATCTCACATCATGAACCACGTCCTTTGAACGCCAGACCTCAAATAAAAACGACCTCACAGTACAGCATTATTTTACATATTGTGACTGATTAAGTCTGGTTGTGTGTGTGTGTGTGTGTGTGTGTGTGTGTGTGTGTGTGTGTGTGTTAAAGCCACATCCTCAGGGTGTGTAGAGCCCCAGAGAGAGGCATGCGGAGGAGAAACATACTTGCTGTTTATTAGTTTCATTAGTTTGTTAGCGCCTCCCAAAATGTATTGAGATGTTTGCCAGTGAACCCTGAAGGGAAAAAGAAACTTGTGTTCACCCCGGCTGGAACGCTCACGCCTGTAGTGGGAAAGAAACTGGCATAATTGGTTGCTAAAGTAAAATTAGGTCACTGGAACATATGGGGTGTTCACTCAACACATTCAACACAGTTTGTAAACTAAATTTACATTCGGGGAAATATGTTCAAGAACGCTGATGACCATTGAACAAAGAACAATGAGTCTCTGTAAGTTTGCAGAGTACATACAAATGCACATTTTAGGTCATGGAACTATTATGGAACAACCTGCTGATGTTTAAAATCTTGTATAGCTGCCACTTATTTCCCCCTCTGCTCTTCATCCCTCCAGGCTCTATGTCCTGTGGGGTTTTGTGGTGGTCACGACCTCCGTGACCAAGGCAGCCAAGAGGAAGGTGAGTCATTAGCTCATTAAGAGTGAGAAAGGGCTGAAAAGTGAGAGTTTAAGGATAGATTTCCATTATTTCATGTCCTAAAACAATCCTGATTGGCCCATATGCACTCTAAAAGAGGTATCGGATGCTGGAAATGTTCATACTGGCTGCAAAGACATCCCAGTCTTTTTCTTTTTTAAAGATTTTTTAGTTTCACCTTTATTGGACAGTGAAGAGGCAGACTGGAAATGGGGGAGAGAGATGGAGATATATGACATGCAACCAGGGTCCCTGGCTGGAGACTGTTGCCGTTATGTGGCATGCACTGTAACCATTCGGCTCCCAAGGTGCTCCCTCTCTAACACCAATGGAAGAGATGGGAGACCAAATCCCATTGAAGTCTTCATACTTCGCAAAAATACATGCCGAATTTCAGCCAAAGCTAATGCGAGGCTTCACCAGTCGGAGTCAGTCAAATTAGGTGGGTACCTTCCAGTCTTTTTAGTATCAAATTCTATTTGTGTTAGCATCACTCCACTGCAGCTAAGCAAGGAAACACCGTCTAAGAAAACAAAGATGGAATTTTAAACTAAAAAGACTGTAACTCAATCTGCTGAAGCCTCAAACCAGCTTCTCCTGAACTATGGAACAAATTGTTGTTATAGATAACAACATCTTTTCATGATCTACTCTTAAGAAAAACAGCAGCTGTGTTAATGCATTTTTCAGATTGATGTATTTAGGTTTGAAAAAAACGTATTTAGCGTTAAGCCGCAATGATTGCTATTTTTCATAATAACAATGTATCAAATGACAATGTGAAAACATTGTGAAAGGAGAAGAACCTCAAGAGAATTATAACCTGAATCTTTATAGTGAGTTTCAGCTAATTGTTTAGCTCATTTGTTTGGCCGAAATGTTACTGTTTTGGTTCACTCTCACCACTCTCATAGGGTTTTATGGCCCCAGCTGGCAGATGTTACACTACCCGCTCAGGACCAAACATCAGGCACATTTAGCGACTAGCTGGGGCACATAGTCCAACATTAGCAGCTCAAGATCCAAATATTTCCCCCAGGAGCTGGTGGAGACCAAAAACAGAGCTAAAAGAGAGTGAATGTTGGACTCACATTCATCAGGTGGCCAGAAACACCCCTTCAAATGAATGATAATATCCTCCGTAACTGTTGGAAGAAGCAATAGTTTGCAAAAAACAACTTAAAAGGTGTTGACGTGTCAATGTTCACTATTTGTTTCTGCTGCACCCAAGTGGAAGAAATCTGTTGCCGAAGGTTTGACAAGATTATGTTCCTCAACCTATAAATGAGCACTTAATCCTTCAGTTTAGCTGAAAAACCTGTTCTAATTACAAAAAAACGATGAAGAATAACTGTGGATTTTGTCCCCCATCTCTTCTGCTGGAAACTGGTATAGGACTTGATCTCTTCACTGCCAGTATGGCATTTGGTTGTATGTACACATGTCAGTATTCTCAGCTACACTCCGGTCTGGAGCAGGTCTGGCGGTGCAGTGTCGCAGGAGTTTAACCAGTAGCTCCAGGTCAGCGGTAGCTGCTGCAGGTTCACTGCGCGGAGCTCATTAATGGTCCCAGTTATGTGGCAGCTGTGTGTTTGATGTCACTCATTACAAAAGACAACACCTCCCTTCTAGAAACACACACACACACACACACACAGACACACACACACACACACTCAGTCATTAGGCCTGTCTGCTTCAACCCCCCCCTCATCTTTCGTACCCCTTTCTCTTTGCTTTTCTCCCACCCTCCTGCCATTTCACCGCAGACACTGACAGGAACCCTTTTAATCTGGATAATACAATACTGAAGCACACATGCATAGAAACACAAACGCACAAGCATGCCTCTTACACCTGTCCTCTCTCGCCACAAACCCACAAACAGTTTCTACAGTACTTCCATCTTTCTGCCCATGAACACACTAAAAAAGAGAGAGTGAGAAGTGTAGTGCAGATTTATGTTTTGGTTCTTTCTGAATGGAAACTTTTGTTCAGCTCTCATGTTTGCCGCTCTGCCAACCAGGCCAATGCTTCAGTTATGAAATGAGAGGAGAAACATTTATTTGTAGCCACAGAGGAAGACATCAAAGCCTGACCTGGCACCCACATACTGTACATGCACTCTCACACACACACACACACACACACACAGCCAGATCAGCCCCAATCTTGTCGTTTCTGCAGCGCATTCATATGACACCAACTCCAATGAATTTATCCATTTGCTCATAAGCTGCTGGCAGGTGACCGAGTCTCTTCAAAGCCTGAGTGAACTATGAAACTTTTCAGGATTTACATTTTGGCCTCAGAGGAAGGAAACTCATGAGACTGCAGCTCAACAGCGGACTCAGTTACTGTGAAGTGATAAGTCCCTCCAGAGATTTTAGATTTAGCAATGGCAGCGTTTTTGCTAAGTTAAGTACTTCTTTAAAATATTGCCAAAGCTTGTCATTTTGACCTTATTACAGAGGGGTTAAGATTACATGCAGTCAGAACACATTCAATTCATTTAAAGTACTTTTTAACCAGCCAAACCTTTTTTTTTGTCAATTCATTTATTGCCCAAAAATGTTTTCATTCAGGCCTTACATTTTGAGACGGGACAGAACATACTGACTTTAAATCAGATTTTCACATTTTCTGTTAGAAGTGAAAAGAGATACAGTATATCTGCTGGATTAAACCAGAGACTACTAACTGTTTTAGTGATCTCGCACAGATTTCTTGTTTTGCTGGATGCTGAAAGGTGGTGATGACAAACCGGTTACAGATGAGCTTTTGTTTAAAATCAGTATATCGTTGTTGGGCGTGACAGAGAGTGATGAGGAAACATGTAGCACAGACGGATTCAAAGTAATTACCACAAAATATTTTATAATACCTCAAATGGTTTGTCTACTATTTAATTAGTTGATTGATAGAAATTTTATCGACGACTATTGTTAAATAATTTCTATTTATCATATATTACATGAAACAGTTTTTCAACCATACATCTCAATATCTGTGTTTGTGTGTGTGCCAGGTGGCAGGCAGACAGTCCAGACAGGTGTTTGAGGCGGAGCCTGTGGAGGGGGTGTGGTCTGTGTGGGTGGAGTGGTCTGACTGCTCGCAGACCTGCGGTGTAGGCGTGTCACAGAGGAGCAGGAAGTGTTTACCTCCCCCACCTCCCCTCTCCCACTCTCCACCTAACTGGGCAGGTTATTTGCCTGGGGGCATCGGCGGTCCTGTCATCTCACCTGTGCGCCCCTTCTATCCTCCTCGTTACCCCGGGCAACACCAGCCTCATCACTCCCTGTCCGCCTCCGACAATCACAACCAAGGGGTGTCTCTGTATCGGAATAACAACCCCGGGGGAGGAGGAGCTCCGGTACCAGGACAGGCCAATCCAAACCCTCCTTTTTACCAGCCGGAATTCTCCCCATCCAATCAAGACCATGCTCCTGTGTACCGATCGCCCTACCACGCTCCCTCTCACGGCTACAACCAGCCAGCACGCATGATTAGGAGGCCGACCAATCCAGCCGCATCGAGGTCTGCAGGAGGCGGGAGCAGAAGGTCGACCGCCCCAAATCGTGAAGGTTTGCCTGCGAGGAGGTGAGTGATGACTGGACAAGCGAACGAATCAATTAGAGCCGAGCTTCTTACAGATATAAGTTAATTTTTCATCTGTAAAATCTCCTACTCTGTATGTATGTTGGTCACAATTCTGGATTCGTTAAATTAATGGGCCCAATGCGTCATAATCAGATGTTTTTGATGCTGGTATCAGCAACAGAAATCCAGTATTTAAACCAAAAAGTTTCAGCATCTTTTTAAAGGTCAACGGTCAGTGGCCCATAGAGAAACACTGATTCAATCAATTTCCAGTTAACGGAAGCTTTTACATGTGCTGTGTGCTGCTCTTCTCCAGGAAAATGACTCTAGCACACAGGAAGTGAGTTTTGCCTTACTGACAAAAAAAGTGCAGACGACATGGCTTTAACCTCTGTGATCTCTGGAAACTGTAACACAGAAACAGCGATGTTGTATCAACAAAGACGTCACCAAACTAAAAGATTCCTCAGAGCACCATTTGATGCACATGCTCAGGATTCATTCAGGGGCCGTTAGTTAAAGTGCTCACATTGTTTCGGCATTAGAGAGGGTTTGTTATGATGTTTCGAGTGTTTGAGTTTGGAGTTTTGCCGATAACTGGTATCTGCTGTGTTATTAGATCATTACCTCTGGCTTTTGTCATACCAACAGGCACTGCATTACTCTGCCCGCTCAATGTCGGTTATGATTATGTTGGACAGCTAGCATGTACTGTATCCGAAATGCATCCTGTCTTCCTGTTTTCTTTATTTTTGTTCCTGCCTGTGGATCTTTCTCTCCATCTGTAAATCTTCCTCTCTAAATACTTCCCTGCTTCTTCTTCCTTTTTTTGTGTCTTTCTCCCTTCCTCGCAGGTCTTCCGCCATCCGTCCAGGTCAGTTTGGGTACGGCAGGGTCCCGTTCTCTCTGCCTCTGCACCGTCCCAACCGGCAGGCCCGCCACACTGTTAACGGCACTGATGCTGAAACATCACCTGTGCCCAATGAAGACGATGCAGAGAACAACGGGAAGGAGGACGAGGAGACAGCGAGTGATAGAGAGGACAGGAAGCGGGGGAAGCGTGAGGAGGAGGTCTCTGAAGACCTTGCTGCTGAGGAGGATCCCACCACAACTGGCAACCCACAGCGCCATGTTGACCGACCCCCACAAACCAATACAGACCACGGGAGGGCAAGAGAGCGAGTCCCACTTTCTCACTTCTTCTCACGCTCCTCATCAACATCTCTCCTACCCAACCGCCACAGGTTTGACTGGCACTCCGTCACCGCGCCGCCTCCTCCCATCCCTCCTCTCTCCCGCCCCAACTTCCCTGCGGTCGTGTCATCCTTTTCCTCTCCTCTCCATCGCTCCAGCCCCAACCACAGAGACAGGGAGCTCCAACCAGGCTTTAGCCCCCACGTCCCACCCACCGGCGACATCTACCCGCTGCAGCACCCCCACATCCCGCACCTGGGAGTGGAATCAGGCAGAGAGGGAGGAAGGGTTGCTCCTCAGGTCTTCCGATGCTCTGGGCCGGAGAAGGAGTACCGCAGGTGCTTCTCACAGGTAAGATCTTCACCCATGAATACGAGGAAAAAAGTAATTCTTCCACTCATTCCACTGGCTTCACACCCTTTTAATCATCTCAGTAGTTCACTTTCATACTTGCTACTTAACGTGTATGTCCCCCGCTCACCTCTGCTTTATTCAGCCTGCAGTCATGCTTGATTTATATGCATGCCGTGTGTTGAAGGGAGCAGTTAGGCGGACGTAAAGTTGAAGGTCAGCAGAGTGTATTTGATAGGTAGATCATTCCCCAGCTCCAAAACTAGCTGGTTGTCTTTGAGCAATTGGATGGAAACTGACTGCAACTGCCTCCGCAGCTCCAAGGCGTGTGTGTATTCTGGGTAGCAACCAGAATACACACCTCTGTTGTGAAGCCATACACGTGTCTTTGGGACTGATTGCACATACGTGTGAGAAGAAAAACTGGCCAGAACCTGCGCGTTAGTGTAAATGCGTGCGTAAATGTGTGCATGTGGCAATGTGTATCGGCGTAATGTCCTGGCTGTCTCGAGGCCTGTCTGGTGATGATTGGGGTTGCAACCGGCTCCATACCTCTCGGTGCGCCTCAGTGCGAGCGTTATCAGTAGCAAAGTGAAAAAAGAGCAGCCCGAGGCACAGATCATGACAGATGGGCGAATTCAAACCCTCGACACACGGCTGAGGAACTGAGGTGGACGCCGCAGTAACTCAGGTTTCACTAAGACAGGAATGCCACGCTTGATTTCACTCAATTAAATGTGAGATTGAGGTAGAATATCATGGATGAAGTGTTTTTAGTGATCTGGTGTTGTGCCTGGAGATTGTATCCACACTGTTTATTTATTGATATGTTATTAATAGGCTTTATATATTTGTATCGTGGATTGTTTTAAAACATAACCATCAGGCAATAGACATTTTTAAGAGGCACCCGTCCTTATATTACCACATTTCACACAGTATCACATTCGGCAAACATGCACATTTTCCACCTTTTTGCAATGGCTGTTTCAAATTCACAGCAGGCTTTCACACAACCTTCCGCCACCGTTGCCATTTATTCAATCGTTAATCAATCAACTCGTGTCCCTGGTGAGAGGGTCAACATGTGGAAAGTCACAGATATCATGCTTGAGTTAATTTCTATTTTCAAGCACGAAAACACCTTCCTTTGTTCAGTCAGTCCTTTACAGCTGCATTTAACATGTTAAGATACTTAGGTATGAAAAATTGAAACATAGACTGGCTATTCTATCAGAATATTTCATACAATATTTCATACAATACTCACAGATAAAAGGAAAAAAACAATATGACGTGACATCTTTCTTGGGCACTACTTGCTATTTGAAAATGCAGTAGTGAGAAAGTATCATTCACTGAGTTTCATGTAAATCAGTTAACCATGTGTGAGATGTCTCACATGGATGGAGGGACGAACGAATGAAATAAACAGAAGGAAACTGATCCATAGTCCATTTTAAGATTTGATCATGGGGACAAAAATATATTTGACCCGGTTATTTATTCCAGCAGACCACTTGTAACCGGTCCGTCTTAAGTGAGAGCATTGGTAGAGATGATAGGATTAAAGTTAAATACCACACACATACACCTACACACTTGTGCATTTTCACTCTCACTCGTTATTTCCACAACTGGCTCTCATCGAGTGGAAGTAGACACTTGAATTTGGGGCCGGGTTGGCACTCGTGGGCTCTTGACTTTTCTCTCTTTAGATAACTTGGCAGGCTCTCTTTCCCTCTTTCATCTCCCTCTCTTTCTTCTTTTCTGTCTCTACCCGGCTCTGTGTGATAGTCCCCGTGTTAGAACAGATTTAGTAGCTGGCCTGGCAGAATACTCGCCCTGTGTGTGCCAGCAGCGCTAATAGCAGTCCTGTGACGGCTCAGCCTGACTCATTGGGTTTAATATTTACCCAACATTAGCCTCTGCTTTAGCCTTGTTTGCTCCTGCAGTGTTCACATTTTTATGTCTTTTCATCATTTAAAGATAGGTTTAACTTCTGATGAATGCAGGACTTTGCCCAGGCTTGTATGTATTGTATAGATGTGTGTGTGTGTGTGTGTTTGTGTGTGATTTAGGGAGTGAGCTAGACTGAGTGTGACACATCCTATTATCTATTAGGTGTGTTTGTCATAACACACCACGCCTGAGGCCCATCAGAAGTGTGATTGGCTGTGTGTGTGTGTATGTGTGTGTGTGTGTGTGTGTGTGGTTTTACTGTTGCGTAGAAGCAAGAGGGGAACCGAGAGAGGGTCAGAGGAAATGAGAAGGGCAAAAGGGGAAGTGTGTGTGATGTGTGTGTGTGTGTGTGTGTGTGATGTGTGTGTTAGAGTGAAGGAAGTGACGCAGTTAAGTAGTAGTGAATGAGAGTACTGTTTTTAGAAAATCTGCACACAGTAGTGGGAGGCCGAGCTAAAGGGCGAGGGCAGAGAAAAGGTGGGGAGGGAGGGAGGCAAAGAAGAAATGGTGAGGATGACTGTTATGGTGTCAGAGGGGTAAAGAGAGGCAGCAACAAATAGAGTGGGATGGAGAGAAAAAGATTCTGCAGGAAGAAAAGAGAGGGATTCATGGAAAAGTGTGTGTGTTTGTGTGAACGAGCACAGTGTAACAAGAGGAGAAGTTATTCTGTCCAAGGGAGAGGGGAGGGAAAGGTGGAATTTGAGAAGAAGCTGCCTGAAAAACAAGAAAAGAGAGACACACCAGCTTGAAACAGACAATTCACAGACAGACACACTCCACTTCCTGTCCTTTCCTTTCCCAATTCTTTGGTTTTTGATGATTCTCTACTCATTCCCTCTCGCCTTAGCTCCTCTCTCTGTCCTCGTCTTCACAGTAAATATTTTGCGAAGAATCACTAACAGTGCGTTCCTCTGCAGCAGCAAGTGAGGCGAGATTTGAGATGCATGTAGTTCACCACGCGGCTCAATTAGAACGATACCAGCAAACACAAGGATGTCGTTTCCAATGGAAACTGGGGGGAAATCTCTGAGCTGGTGAAAATGTTGATCTATACATCTGAGTTGCCTTCAATGATTGCATTCAGCAATAAGAAGTTCTTTGCAAACTTTTTTTTTTGCCTTTGCCTTACAGGCTACATTCAGTCTAGTTGCCCTGATCAGACACAGCGTTTGTTTTGCACTTTGCTGCGTTTTTGTTGTTGTTGTTGTTGTTGTTGTTGTTGTTGTTGTTGTAGGCAACCCCCAAATGAGCACAAACGTCACACAAACCATAAACTCAAAGCTATCCAGTGGTTGCTAAAAAGCTTATTTTCATTATCGATTAATCTGCTGATAACTTTTAAATTAATACATTAATTGTTTAACATATACAATGTAAAAAAACGATGTCAAAATGCCCCAAAATAGTTTGTTTACATTGATTTATTACAGAAAAGCAGTAAATTCTCACACACACACTACATTTGCTTGAAAAATTGCTGCATCAATGAATTGATTATCTAAATAGTTAAAGTAATTGATTAATTGACCAGTCGTTTCAACGTGAATACAGTCCACACAATACTGTACACTAGTAGAGTCAGCGCTGGTTGCTGCAGGAGCTACTCAAGGCTGAAAAATTCCATGGTAATTTGTTATTTTCTAGATGGATTCAAACAAATATAAATAGGATATAACATTCACATATTATTGAAGATTATCTGACTTCATTGTTCTCATCCCTCCACTACCGACACCAAACCTGCACTCTTGAGGAGACACAATACCTCAAAAATACATGCCATGCTTTAAACACGCACTGCAATGTTATTGATCTCGCTCCTGTAGCCAAAACCTGAGGAGTTTTATTTTGCGACTACACTTAACGTTGCCTCAGGCTGCTTCATAAGTCAGATGATCTAATCACAGTCTGTCATTACACGGGCGTTTCTACAAAGGAAATGTATTATTACTATCAGTGCGGAGCCACACTCGTCAACTCTAATGACTGTGTGCAGACCCTGCCACGCTTTCCGTTGTTCTCATGAAGTGGCAAACCGGCCCAGATGTTTTTGTTCGTGAGACTGAAGCACACATGCAAACGCTCAACCACACTGATTCATTTCGAAGATCTGTACTTTCTTTGCTTTAGTCCTTTAACAAGCAGAAGTACCTGCTTCTCTTCAAAAAACAGGTTCCTCTGCTTGTTAAAAATCTGTTTATATCGGCTCCTGTGTGTGGAGTTTTCCCTCTTTCATGTTCCTTTTCAGGAAACAGGGACACGGTCTGGTCTGTCAAAAAGTAACAAAATCCACGAACCAGCACCTCTAACGCTCACTAATCACCATGTTTTATCTTGCTTGTTTAATCCAAACAAAAACTGAAGTGTAAAAACACTGTCTCCAGGAAATAAACCCTGTAGCGTTTATGTAGCGTTACATGAAACAGACCAATATGAGAGTGGTATCGATCCTCTCATCTAACTCTCAGCAAGAAAGCGAATAGGTGTGTTTCCGAAAATGTCAAACTGTTTCTCTTCCCATGAAAGACTCATTCATATTCAAATCTCTTCTTTATCTGTGTCCTGACCATGATAGTCAGCAATAACACTGAGTTACAGGTCAGGAACATCAGACAGAAAACACAACATATGCCACAAATTCATGAAATTTTTAATAAAAACAAATCACAAAAAGACCACAACGTCGGCAGCCAGAGGACAGAGCACACCGTGTCTGCAGCAATGATTTGAATTCACAGAGTGAGTCCAACTTTTTTAGACAACTTTGGATCCAATTGCAGACGGTTCCCGGCAGAGGAAGCAGCATCTCTGTCTACAGTAAAAAACTCCTTTGCATAGTTCCGTGCAGACATTTGGACTGTCAATAGAAATGAGCTCTGGGAACGAAGAGCATAGCTGTCCACACTTCCTACCTCTCTCTCTCTCTCTCTCTCTCTCTCTCTCTCTCTCTCTCTCTCTCACACCCATGAGTTATTATGAAAATATGCATTGAATCACTTCACTGGTTTGTAGCAATAAGATGTGGGTTTGTCATTTTCAGTGCCCTGGAGCCAAGCTCTGGTTTTCATTTATTGATCTCGTGTAGTGTTTTCTTCTCTTTTTCTTTTCTCTTCTTTCTAGAAAAGTTGTTCTGATGCTCAAACTCAAATTTCTCCATAACAGTATTATTTCTTGCCGCTCGTCTTGCGCAGCGCGGGGCCCCCCGTCAGTCGCTGATAGATGAGCAGCGTTTCTTTCGGAGCACTCCTGACTTCCCTTCCTCAGGGTCAAGGCCGAGAGCTGGGAGTTGCCCTGCAAAGCGCCGACGCACGGCCTCGGTCACAAGATTAGCCGGAGAATGTTAATCGGCTGAGGACAAACACATACGCACACATCTTAACATATGTCATGGATTTGTGTGCATGCATACAGTGATTAGTTCTGGCGTGTGTTGATTTACGGCTGCAGGGGCCAAACGTCAGTTGTTTTGTCTGTGTAATGTCGCAGTAATAGATAGATAGATATAAACTTTATTCATCCCCAGGGGGAAATTAGTTTGTAGCAGCAGCAAGTTACAGAGTCAAATAAAATATTACGTGTGGAAATGCACAATATTATACAGTACAATAAAATAACAGAGCAGATATTGAATTTGAAGAAATGCTTGAGGAATGACCGGCCAGCCTTAACCTGTATGTGGCATTGCTGCGATACGGCCAGCTGTGCAGGCAGAGACTCGCATGGAGAATGCCGACGCTTTACCTGTGCTTTCCCTACGGAAACACACATGTGGTGAAAGGTTCCCGCTTTCCTTGTGATCTGTTCCTCCCGAAAACTCATTAGTCTTGCCTGGGCCGGTGTTTGTGTTTCACGCAAGAGTGTTATGTGTGACCAGGATTGGCTGGTGTGTGTTTATATGTGTGTGGCATTTTTGTGTCTGTGTGTGTGTGTGTGTGTGTGTGTGTGTGTGTGAGCATCGAACAAAGCTTTTAGCCCTCAGGCAGTCCCCCCCCCTTCCATCCCATGCTCCAATATATTGCCCACAGACCTTTTCTCTCCTGCCCCCTCCCTGGTAGTAAAACACATCTGAAAGTTTCACAGCTCCCGAACAAAACCACTGACTGTCAGCTGTGTTCACTTTTCTTTCACCTGCTCTCTGCTGCTATCCACCGTTCACTCTTTCAACGTGTCAGTCAGTAGCAGCCAGTTTAAGTTCCAGGTACTTTGATGGTACTTAAGCAAGGAGTTGTGATACTCCTGGTGTTATACAACTTGGGCCATCATTCTTATTGGCAACCCCAGGACAAATCCCTAACAAATCCATCGGAGCATGAAACAACAAACCCCCAGGTCATCTTAACTTATTTGGAAGAGAAAACGAAAGGTACATTTTTCCGACTGTCCATTGTAAACATCCATCACAGTTTACAGACGGACTTCTTGATTCGACTCCGGTCTTCCTGTAGAATGAAGGATTATTCCCAACATTTGGTTTCGCTCACTTCACCTCTGAAGTGGTTTAGTTTAATCTGGCTTAACTGTTGGCCTGTTTACATCCTGTCTGACTGTCTGACAACTCGTGTTTCTTAAACTGTCGGACTTCATTGTAGTAATGGCCTCAGTCATTACTTTAGTGAGCATGATGCTATCATACCTGATTGATTACCAAGTTAAGTGTAAATGCTGACCAGAACTATGAAATACAAGACCCAAGTTGGATGAGACTGTACATTTCTTTTAATCAGTAGTAGCCAAAAAATAAATGCACACAGAAGGGTAAAAAAACAACTAAAGAAATGTATTTTTGTTATTTAAGTAATTTCCATTTAAATATTCACTCTTTGAACAGGGCTGAGTATTGCTTCACACAGAGTTTTTTAATGCCGCACTTTTTTGTGAAGAAAAACTTTTTTATAATTTAACAAAAGAAGCTGGAAAGTTGTCAAATATTTAATCTAAGAACAATCTACTGCACAAAATAAAATTAAGTAAAAAACCTTTTAAAAGCCTTTAAAAAAAATGATATTGCTACATGATTGAATGTTTTTGACTTTTGGAGTGAACTCGTGGTTTGAGTGTTTTCCACAGGCCCAGACTCATCCTCGCTACCTTTCCCTCACCACACACCACCTTTCTCTCTTTCTATCACCCTTCATCTTTAAGTATTTTACTCTCTTTTATCTCTCCTTGGCCCATTCAATAACTGCCACTCACCCCCAGTTCCCCTTTCATCTTTCCTTCTGTTCACAGTTAAGGGGAGACCCCCTAACCCTGCACTCATAGTAAAGGAGGGAACACCAAAGTATGCCAGCCCTCACAATAACACACATTCTCCTCCAGAACCGTGAAACACCAGTTTTTGCTCTCACTTTACCTCCCCTCCATTCAGTCCATTAGCCTCCTGATGTTTTTACACACCCTAAACTCTCAATTGGGAGGAGAATCTGTTTGCTGCTTAGCATTCATACAGTCACCAACGCATGAATGCACACACTCGTCTTTTACTTACATTCTCTCTTTTCATTTTACATTCCTCTTGTTGTCGTTTTTGGAAGCTCTTTCTTTCTTTTTACTGAACTGTAGCATCCCATAGCTGCACACACACTGTCCTTGTGTTTGTGTGTGTTTGGTGTTGTCCACTTATCGTTTATGGTCTTACAGGCGCACACACACACACACACATGAAAAGATACACAGAAACTCTCCAGTTTCAAATGACGCCCAACATGTTTACGTCCTGCAGACATATTTACAACCATCACCATCCGCATTTCACACAAACACATCCAGGCAGATTTACAGGGTTACTTGAAAACATCAGGTCACATACGTACACGTACAATCGCCTCACCCCCTCCAACATATGCATCGAGCGGATGTAGCTTAAACACACTCTCTCGTTGAAGAGGCTTAAACCAGACTACAACATATCGCCTGTAAATAACACAAAAATTAGTCCGTTTTAAAACAGTGTGAAACCGTGGCGGAGCGTAACACATAAAGTTTCATGAGCTGGTTTCACATTCCACTAGAAGAGAAACAACAGATGATCCTTATGAGTGCCTTGTGACATGACAGCGACATAAATTAATTCACTCTCACACGCACACACACACACACACACACAACACAGTGAACGTGTGAATTTCAGCAGTGTCAATGAATGCATGCTTTGACGGTTTATCCATTAATGTCTTTTAGTTACACTTTGTCGCAGAAGCCTGTTCACATGGGAACTGTTGGTCTGTGTGCGTGCATGCCTTTGTGTGCGCGTGTGCATAAACTTGACCACTCCCTTGCTCTTGTCTCCCTAGATGTGTGACTAGGAACTTTCCAGCTGTTTGTGACAGCTGTGAACGTGGAGACTGATCCACAAAAAAAACAAAAGACAAGAGGAACGAATCAAAGAAATAGAGGAGTGAAAGACAAGATGATTGTAGAGCTGACAGAGATTTGAGTTGCAAGGAAATCTGAGAACTCTGTCTGCGGCATGTGTGTGTGTGTGTGTGTGTGTGATTGAGCGTGATTGAGCCAGTTGTATATCAGAGGGCTGTAAACTCAGTGTTTGACCAGACAGGATGGTTGTGGCTTCCCACAGTAATGATACCTGATGATGAGTGTGTGTGTGTGTGCAGCAGTGGAAAAAGTATGCAGCATTAATACTCCATTATAAGTAAAGTTCCTGCATTCAAAATGTTAATGTTAACTAAAAGTACAGAAGTATAATCAGCAAAATGTACTTAAAGGAATAGTTGGACACTTTGGGAAATATGCTCATTCTGCAATCTGTCTGATGAATATGAAGGTACCGCTAGCAGCCGGTTAGCTTAGCACAAAGACTAGAAGCAGGAAGATGAGCTAGCCTCTGCCCAAAGGTGACAAAGTCGGCCAGCACCTCTAAGGTATTAGTTAATAAACTTTAGTCTTAAGTCTGCTGCAGCGCAGTGCAATTAGTAAATACTTTTCACACCTCTGTGTGTGTGTGTGTTAGTTAGTGTGTGTCCCACAGGACTGGGGCATTGTGAGTTATGGTCAGTACAGTATAAACCAGCAGATTCGTCTCTGCCTGATGTTTCAGCTGTCGTTTACGTGCAGGTATGCTAAAACTTTTTCCACTGTACGGCTCCATAAGGACTCTACTTGAACGAGCACAAGCTAGACGTGCTCATACACACACGAGCACATGCACGCACACATGCACATCACATTCTGTGGTCATGCACTAAAAGCCACGGTGGATTTATGTGTGCAGCCGCTTCCAAGAAATCTATTATGTCCATATGGTTCTGATATTGTACACTTGCTGACGGCCAAAAGCAGCATGTAGACTGCGTGTGCGTGTGTTTTTGTATTTGTGTGTACAGATATGGCGTGTTTGCGCTTACTTCTATGACTTCAATTTAATTAAATGAATGAATGAATTCCTTTTTTTTTATTAGCGGTGTTTCCCTTTGCCTTTTCCTCACAACAGTCCACTGCAGCCTTCCTTCTTCAGGGAGCGGGAGAGGAACAACCGCCAGTTTAATAGCTGGGTGATTTCATATTAGTTCAATGTGTGGCACTGCATTTTATACTCTCTGTCTCCCTGTGTATCTGTCCTCCAGGTGTGTGGAGGAGCTTCGTTGGGCTCCAGAGAAGAGCAGTGTGCTGCCTTTAACACCCAGGAGTTCATGGGTCGCCTCTACAACTGGGAACCTTTCACTGAGGGTGAGGACTGCGTTAACACACACACACACACACATGGTAGTTAAGGGTTTAGCTGCAAAGTGCTTCAATGTGATAATAGGCTTACTGTGAGAATGAAATGCTAGGAGAGGGGGAAGGGGGAGTTGAAAAAGCGTCAGTAAAATGTGTGATTAAGTGAGTTAAATGTTGCTCTGGTATTAGTGTGTGTTTTCAGGCCTTTCACTGCATGCCCAACCCACCTCAATCCCTCCCCTCATTGGCCTGCAGTGCATGTAGCGTCAAGGGTAGTGAAAGTCAAGAGGAAAAGAGAATGACTCGAACTCAATCTGCTTTTATTCTTTGCACAAAACACTCTCTCTCCCTCGTCTCATTTTCCTCTCATTTGTCCAACATCTCCCTTCCTCTCCTGACAAGCGTCTCCTCCCAGCTCTGACTAAGCACACAGATTCCTACTGAGTGAGATAAAGACAGAAAGAGAGAGACAGAGAAGGGGAGGTGAGAGGTGATGGGACGCAAGTGTTGTCACATGACCAGTGGGAGCAAAGAGAGACAATGTGGCTTGCGTGTGTGTCTCTCTCTCTCTCCGTACTGTATGTGTGTTTGTTTACTTTGGTGTTAAGTGTGCAATAGTTCAGCGCAGTGGAGATTGTGTCTATTTATCTTTGTTTTCCAATGCTGGAGGGAAGAGAGGGAGAGAAAACACTAAACAGATATTTGAGGAATTTGAGAGAAAGGGAAGAGTGGATGGAGATAATATTACAAACATGGGGGTTTTGGGAGTGAGAGATCGGAGGAGGGGAAGACAAAAAGAGCACAAAGAAACACAGCTGTGAGATGAGATCAACAGTATTTGTCATTAGAATTATGTTTGCAAGCCTCTGTGTATTTACAGTATGATATTATTGGCTTGTACTGTAGATGAATGGCCTAATGGATGTGAGATAGTATGTGGCCAAATGTTTGTGCATGTATGTTTGTGTATCTGTCTGTCTACACACTTGTGATTACTGTATCAGCTGGCTGAAATTCCTCAACACGCACACTGAGAGTGTCGAGCCGGACGCACTAGATCAGCAACATCAACCATAATGTACAGTTTTGGTTTGGTTTTAGTCTCAATGCACACATACGTAGCACACCTGTCCAAATATAGACGAAACTAATGACTAGAAAGTAGAGCATGTAACACAAATAAAATGTTATGAAGAACGGCATGATTTCCACAAATGGCGTAATACACCCAGATACAGTATATTAGACAATATCTCTAATGGTAGTCACATTTGTCTTACAGTATGTAGCGCCATATTGCCCACTTCTACATTCAGGTGGTTTTGAATTCTCAATTGCCTGTTTATATGGATGCGAGTGTCCTGGATGTGCTCGGGTGGTTGTCTCTCACCCACTATGAGCTGGTCATCCCCCTGTGACCCTGCAAAGGATAAGTGTTTATATATAATGGATGGATTACCCAAGTTATTTTCATGGCAACACAGAGGGAGTTCACCTTGAAGGATGTACTGGTATTTATTTGGTCAACCCTCAGGCCAGTTTTGAGGATGTAGGCAGATGTAGACATGGTAACATCTGTAACGGGAGTCATCACAGCAGTATCAGCTGGAGTCTAACTGCCTGCGTAAACACACAGGGGCTTTTCCTTTCACCCACCACCCCTGCTCTCTATGTGTTCGTATGGGGAAAGAGATTACTGTATTTGTCCTGAATTTAGCTGCTCTTACATTCTTTCTATGTGCTGTGCGTCCTTGCCTTCTGCTCTGGCTTATTTGTAAACCAGCATGTCCTTGAGAAGAGGACAGGAAGGAAAGCAGAGAAAAACCTCTTGTAGGGGGGTGCATGGGTAAATCATGGTTCTGGCATCAGAAAGACACAGCATAGTCACATCACTGGGAAGATTTGTTTGGATAAAAGAAGCCACCAAATGGCAGATGTCACATTTATTGGTGGCGATGAGGGGATACAGTACTGTGTGTGTTAGAGGTATTTGCAGATGACGTCAGCTGGTTTCAGACCCACTTGATCAGCGCTGTAGATGATCCTTTTCCACTCTGCTAAGTAAACTGTATCGCACTGTTTACTTCAGTCCGGTCCCATTGGCTGCAACCCAAATCTTCATATCTCCCTTCCCATCAACACAATGGAGGCTGCGCGGAGTGTGTGTGTGTGTGTTTTACGACATTGAATGGTGTGTTAGTCATTTTTCTCCAGCTGCACTCATCTGTCGACTGCATATATTTCCCAAAAGTATTTATGTTAAACCGTGCAGTCAGCTCTTGCTACTTTGTGTGTGTTTTTTTTGCCTCCAAGGTGACATCCCTGTTATGTATGAACTGCAAAGTGTTGTGGCCTTTGGTTTGGAATTGGAAGCTTAAACTTTAAAGCTGCCACAATGGCTAAAAACCACAGAAGTAGTAATGTTTCCCCTCACAAGCTCATCCCCTGAATAATGCTACCTCTGGTTTTGTAAGCGCTGCACGTGCAGGTGTTGTTTTACTTGAATATTCCCTTTTTTTTCAGGCCTCATCCCCAGTCCGCTTACCCATCCTCCCCTCTTCCTGTCCCACTGCCTCTCTCTTTCTCTCTCCCTGTTGGAGTTTGTTTAAACGGAGAGATAGTGGGGAAGTATATTCAGACAACATATATTCCACTGTCTGAACACTAAGCTCAGAGAGGGAGAGAGAGACAGTGAAAGAGACAGAGAGGCCCGAGATCGAGGCGAAGAGAGGAACAGGGAAGCAGAATCAAGTAGCTAGAGACAAATGAAAGATAAAGGAGCACAAATAGAGAGAAAATTTAAAGATGATTAGGAGATGGAGAGCACTCGAACATCAGGGCGGGATAAAGAGGAGATGGAGATGAGCAGGAAGCATACAGAGAGAGAGGCAGAGAGTACATGAGTGGCAACACATCTCCCCCTCTCTTTTCTGTCACTGTCACCAGTCTAATCTCTCAAAGATAACTATGACGGACTGAAAGAGAGAACAAGGGTGGAGAGAGATAGTGGGAACACTGCCTTCCTTTTTCTTTGTTTCTTTTTTAAACATGTACTGTATATCTGTCTCGCTGCAATTATCAGACAGCAGCAAAAGAATGGGTGCAAATAAGCAGAAATATTTGAAGAAAGTTTGGCTCATGTGGGTGTTAGTGACGAACAGTGACTCGTGCTTGCGTACCCATTATTTTACGATATGCCGCCACCAAGACATTAATGTTAATTGAAAACAGTTAAATCAATAAAATCAGTTGGTAAAATTAAAAATAGCAGATTCTTTTCATCCCACATTGACATTTTAATATCAAGTACTTGAAAAGAACAGATGCCTTTTCTGATAAAATGCCATCAGATTACAGGAAGCTGTTGAAGGTCGGAGTAATAATACAAATTGTTTTGGTCTCAAGTTGTTTAAATCAGAGACAATAAGACAACACCACTTCATTCATTTTCTTTCTCTTATTGGCACGAGATAGTTTCCACATATGCTGATGACATATTGTATTTTTACAAAGCACTTACTTTTCTAATTTATATTCTCTCTCACGCCATATTTTAGAAATATTTTACAGAATTTCCAGCAAAGAAGTAAACTCTGATAAGTCTATTACTGCACCAATGAATCTGTTTCTGCTCCCTAAAGTATCGTACGGTCCATGTTTACCCATTCTGAAGGACCACTACTACATCTTCGCAGTATATTTATTAGCGAATTGATGTACCTAGTTACCATAACTTCCCTACAAAGTTGTGGAAAGATAAACATCCAGTCTGAGTCAATTGCTTCACCTGTATGACTTCCTGACCACTTCCAGACACTTAGTGAGATAAAATACACTCCTTAATGTCCACAGATCAGGATGTCTAACTGGCAAAGGAACAAACCTGTACATGGTGTCTCGGGCCAAACTTAAGTGTTTTTTGTCGAGACTCACAACATGACTCGTCCCTCATGCAGGTGGTTTTTTTGGGCCACTTTTCAGTCATTAAGATCATACTTGGTTCACTCTGCCCTCCCAGCAGTGAAATACTCCAAGATACCGTAGCACCTAATCCTTCTATTTCCTGAAACAATAAAAAAGCATCTTAACACATCAGATGTACAAATCCTTCTCTTCTGTCTGGAGGTTCGCTATGTTCCCGTATGATGACTTATATCATCCCTGTTGAAGTGTTGTTGCATTTCAGCGTCGAGAGTCAAAGAACAGAGATGTTTGAAAGCATATGGAGTTACTTTCAGTCCACTACATACCAACTATACACTTTCTGCATTCTCTCTTGGACACACAAGGTGAAAGCTGGTATTTGACCTTTAGTCTTTGTTCTAGTATCTCTTATGAGCATCTTGACTATGAAGGGGATGGTTTATTGAAGTGGGAGAGGGAATCTTCTTGGTGAAACAATCTTCAGTGGTATTATATGAAAATATAGTGGCATTGGTGTGATACCCGAACAACACTTTGATTATTTTTAAATGTCAAAAATATTTCACGAAAGAAGCACTTTTGGAGAGAAAAACCAGGACAGAATGATACAACTGTACCACAGTTAGACCACAAGGTGTCATGCTGTTCATATTTATTAAATATATTATATTTCGAAGTATGTGAGAAGTCACAAATTCAGAAGCACCGAAGTTGTCCTTTAAACCCTGACCTACTGGTGACAGAAACTCCTCCCTCCCATCTGCAACTAAATGTCTGACCCTATACTCATGCTATATGTTTATGGCTCTATTTCACACACCACACACACACACACACGCACACACACACACCAGCCCTACCTAAAGGTCTTTAACCCCTGTAAAACCCCAATCTCCAACCTCAAAGAGGGTAATAAACAGTTGAGCCGCTCACTGTCCCTTCTTGTGTTCATTACCTATTTTTCCATCTTTTTATGTCTTCAAAGGAAAAGTTCAACATTTTGGGAAATATATGCTAACTCACTTTCTTATCACAAGAAGATAATTTCATGTCTGTCTTAAAAGAATGATTCACCATTTAGAAAATGCTCCACAATAACATTGTCGGACTCACAATGGACAGTTTTTTAAGTATAAAAAAATGCTGCAGCAGAATCATGGCGCTATAGGCTTTTTTAGTCCACACATTCTTCTATCTTGTCAAAGTGTTCCTACATTACCCACAATGCAACTCAACAGATTTGGGTGTGTTATGCTAGTATAGCTGCCTCAAGCCTTTATCTTCAAGCTGAGATGAGGAGCGTGCAACAGAGGTCTGGTGAACTCACTTCTTCTTAACCCCACACCACCAGATTCTTTTCTTTTTCAAACTTGTAGTCTTCAGCCCCTTCCGATGCTGACTCAAGTGACATCACTTGAGGCGATTCATCACACTTCGCACAGCTTTCTTTCAAGCTAAAAATGACTTTTACAACTTTTTTCACGTACGCAGCAGTGGTTAGCTTATTATAGACACTGGATTATGTTTTGTGGTTTTAGAGGGACTCACATGGTGTAACTATTATCTTCTCATTTCATTCCTTTAAACCTGCTCATTGTATTCCACCACTCAGACACACTCTTCTCTTGCTCTTCTACTTTCTCAACATGTTTTGTTTGGACCCCTCCCCTATTCCCTTGTGAGATCCTCTGTATTCTCCACACGTGTCACTTGACTCAGTACTCAAACACTTCAATTTCCTCTTTCACCTTGAAGCTGTCTTCTTTTTCCTTCTTATTCATTCCATCTGTTCTTTTCTTCCTTGTACATCTATACCTGCTGTGTTTGCCCGTTGGGTTCTTCTCATAAATCAAACCTTCCTCAGGCTTGTGTTTACACCTCTCCTCTGGGTATGTAGCTCCTGGGATGGTGCAGCAGTGAATGCATTCACACAACTGAGCAGCAGGGGAAATAGCTAATCACTCTGGGGCTGTCTGACAGTCGGGGAGGCCACATGGAAAGACATTCATCGCTCAGCTGGGTCGTCTCAGCGCCAGGCAGATGCAGAAAGAAGCTTCACAGATTTATGCAGAAGATCTCACAGTCAGACTCATATAGATCAACAAGTTATGCAACAATCATCCTTTCCTCTGTCCCTGTGTTGCAGTTGGTGCGGACAAACAGTGCGAGCTGACCTGCAGACCTGCGGGCTATCGTTTCTATGTCCGCCAGGCCGAGCGTGTCACAGACGGGACCCCCTGCTTCAACGTCAGCTCCAACGATGTGTGTGTAGAGGGGCAATGTCTGGTGAGTGCATTTATATGTGCATGTGTGGGAGGTTTTAGCTTCAGGTATCTGAACCCAAGTTCATCCTGTCTAGTCGGAGTTGACAAAATCCAGAACCTCTCCGTCTCAGGCTCATTCAAGCCTGGCATTCAGATTCAGAGTGGCTCCAATCTTTTTTATTACCCTGCTCTGGGCCTCTGTTCTCTGTGTCTTTCCCTCTTTCTCTCATTTGCACTCCATGATTTTGCCCTTATTCCACACTTCTGTTTCTGGCATAAATCCGACCAGCGATAGTTACCAATTGCACAAAAAATGGTGAAATAAACACTGGCGATGGATGATAAATTTCGACCACATTGGAAAAGCTTTTCTCTGCTCTGTCCCCTCCCCTCCCCTCCCCTCCCCCCACATCTCTTTTGTTCCCCTCCCCCACTTTCCCCCCGACATTGTCTGACCCATCACTCACATCTTTTTACCTTCCTCTCCTGCCAGACGGAGGGTTGCGATGGGGTACTGGGCTCCAGCTCTGTGATTGACAAGTGTGGAGTGTGTGGTGGGCGGGAGAGCTCCTGTCGGAAGGTGACGGGAAGTTTACAAAATGTCACGGTTCCCCTTGGTTACCACAAGATCCTGGACATTCCGCCCGGAGCTACGTTCATTGACATCACAGAAAGGCGAGCCAGCCCTAATTACCTGGGTAAGAGCTAATAGACACAAACCAAATCATGCACACACACGCACACAGTTTAAGGTTTCTTACATACTGGTTGCAGCTCCAGTTATGTCAGATGTTGGCAGGGGATTTGGAGATTTGATAATGAGATTTGGCCCACGGGCATGTGTGTGCTGGCCACTGTAAGACTGTAAATTGTGTGCCCTCATAGGCTCCAAGCGGATAAAGCTTGTATTGTGAGAGCCCATAAGGAACCAGTGAAGTGTGTATGTGTGAGTGTTCGTCCTCCCGTTTGGTAATGAGACAGCACTCCAAAGTCTGTTTGTCTTTCTGAGAGCGTGTTTGGGTTCATGGGGTTTTCTTAAGAATTCACCACTACGTAGACTAAACAAGATCAAAATAAGAAAAGAAACTCCACCTGTCTGTCCTTCTAACACTCCACCCTCTTTTCTCCAGCCATGAGGAGTGGCACGGGGGCTTCAGTGGTGAATGGGCGGTGGGCTGTGGACCCTCCTGGGGAGTACCAGGCAGGAGGGACTACCTTCACCTACACCCGACCTAGAGCACAGGCAGAGGGGGAGGAAGAGAAGGGCGAGTCCCTCAGGGCTCCGGGACCAACCACCACACAGCTACAGCTATATGTAAGAACAGTGTTTGCTTTAACCCTGTCAGCCAACATGAGCCAGGGCATGGCAAAATTGAGTTAATGATAAGAATCAGGCACATACACATAGACATGTGTATACACAGAGTATTTAACATCTTTAGAACGTTGTCGTAAGCCTGAGGCTGTGCTCTCCTGCTCTGTGTCAAGATCTTCCAGATAGCCTGGGTTATTTTAGCATGATGGTGGGATAAAGACAGGCTAAGATCTTATTAAAGAACAGAACTCATCTGCTGCTTTACATCCAGAAGTCACAGGGAAGGAGGTGGTATAAATACCAAGCACCAAAGCCACTGCAATCACCTGCATTTGTATGGCTTTATTTTGATTTTGAAAAAAAACAAAAAGTCTATAACCACACCATTGGCACTGTGAGGGCGTATTGCTCATTACACGCTGGGAAATAAAATGTTGGATGGATAAAAATAGAAAGACAAGTCAGCTTTATGTAGAGCCTTGCATCTGGTGAACAAAGATAAGTTTGGCCACAGAAAAAAACCCAATAAAAAAGACCAAAACAAAAGTGTTTATTGGTTGTTCTCAGGTTTCGTTTTTTCTGTTTAGCATAAGTTACACCCCAAGCTACACCCACTGTTTGCTCAGAACTTGCTCCCGCTTGCATTCAACTACTTTACTTTATTCTTACAATCACATCAGTATGGCAGAGGAGAGAGGTCAGGTAAACCTATACGCTCATTGCAAGCTACTTGAACCAGGGACGTTGTGTTTCATGGTCAGCATCTTAACTACTAGAAGCTACTTAGCTTAGCATAAAGACTTGAAATAGCTCGTCTGACTGTGTCCAAAAGTAACAGAATCTGCCTAGCAACACCTCGAAAGCTTAATTATCACATTATAAGTTGTTTGTTTAATCTGTACAAAAGCCAAAGTCAATCCGTTTAATTGTTATTGAGACATGTCACTCTTGACCAAGGTGCAGCATTGACAGATAGAGCAACTGCCAGAATTGCATTGACATCTTAGGCAAAAAATAGCAGATCCAAATGTTGTTGCCATAGGACTCCAGCTGATTAAGTTTAGATGACCTTGGATATGTTAAGTCTTGTGTGATGGTCTGCAGGGTTTCATAATAAGAGCGGGGACACATAGCATACACCCTGCTGAGGCATCCTTGAGCTTGACAGTGTTTCCCTGCCAGGGCCTGAGTGGCTCGTCCTGACCCTTCAGTGCGTTTCTCGATGGGGATCTGTAAAGCTGTTTTAGGGTGTGTCTTGTCATTGGCTAGTTTTTTTTACCTCTAACTTTGTCTGTTCTCTCACCCTGTTTTGCTCTCCAGATCATTTTCCACAAGGAGAACCCGGGCATCAACTATGAGTTTTATGTCCCCGTGGAGAAAAAGGAGCAAGAGAGGGAGAGGCTGACTGCGAGGGAGAAAGAGAGGGAGGCACCCAGAGAGAGGCAGAGGGAGCGAGAGCCAGCGAGGGCACCCCTTCGCAGTACGTCTCTCGCACTTCTACTTTCTGGTTTTATCTTCTTCTGTTTGGCCATGTTTTCTGCATGTTTCATACAGTAGCACAGAGACACTGGATTCTCCACAGTCCTGTTCAGCACATAGTTGAGTCTTATCAAATGCAGAATTTAACCCTAAATCAAACATCTCTGGATTCATTCTTTCCAAACTACTCAGGGAAACACTACTGAGAGCCATGAGAGTGATGGACGTGTTTATGGATTAGGATGGGTGTGGTTGTGGGCCAAAAGGGAGGGATTATTGTGCAAGTGTGTTTGTGCGTGACCCAGATGGGAGGCTATCTGGTCCACGTGTTCGCTGCCATGAGACCATGACCTCATCATGACATCATCAGCATCTGACTCACTGCCTTCCTCCTATTCTTGATATTTCAACATTCGTGTTTCGCCTCTTCCTTCACTCTTAATCGCTCTTCTCTCCATGTATGTTACCTAAAGTTCACCTCTCTCTCCTACCTTCCCTTTCCTTTCTAATTTGTCTAAATGTCAATCTCTTTTTTTCTTCTCTCCCAGGTCCTCTCACTGTGTCAGTAGAAGACCCTCCTGCTCCTCCCCCCATTTCGGTCCCTTCTTTCCCCTCCTCCTCCTCCTCCACCTCTGTGTTTTCTCCCCCCTCCTCAGACCGATTGGCACCTGAGAGGTCACGTCCTCGGGGCTCTGCACCCAATAGGAATGCTCGGATCCCCCCTCGCACTGACCTGCCACTGGACACTCAGTCACCATTTGTGTGGAGGAGAGGAGGGCTCATAGAGTGCTCTGCTTCTTGTGGCAAAGGTCAGAGTTCATAAATGCTTGTTACAATCTAATTTAAGTGTGATTTTTTTTTTTTAATAACTTACTTACATTGGATTGAGTGATGTCTCCCTCCTGTGGTGTGTAGGTGCAAGTACAAGGACATGGAACTGATATATTCACTCTGTGCATCTATCCATCTTTTTCTCTCTGTAGGTTTTCAGAACAGAGTCATTCTGTGTATAAACCGCCATACAGACGACGAAGTCCCGGAGAGGAAGTGTGACTCTGCAACCAAGCCAGTTCCTGAGGAGGAGCCTTGTAACACACATCCCTGCCCACCATTGTGAGAAAACACGGTTACCTTGAAAAGATGCATCATATATATATTTATTACTTTCTATTCAGCTTTCCAGGAAGAGCGATAAATGCCTTTTTTCAGAAGCAAGTGCTTTTCTCAAAGCTGATAATTCACTGCATGAAAACCACACTGCAAAACATCCTTTATTAGGTCTTTTCTTTCTGTATGTTGAGTGCTTAAAGTCATATTTTTTAAGAAAGAAATATCTTCTAGTGTGGTGTAAATATTTTAATTCGTTTCCAATGTAAATCACCTTGTTTTCAGGTATTCAAAAAAAAACCACTTCTTTATCCAAGTGTTTAATTTCTGGAAGATTGTTGACACAAGTTTCTACTGTAAACAGGTTTATAGTATGTCACTGCACGGGACAGATTTCTATCATTTTCAATTAAAGACAGAAAAGACTTGATAGGGTGGGGATTTTTTTTGCTGCGCAAACTTTCTCAAGGAAAAAGCATGGATAATGTGATAAATGCACCTAATACACAGTTCGATTTTATTGAAGTAGTGTGCATCTGACGCCATGTGAGTATGTGTTATTTTCCTGTAATATTTAGCTTCAACATGTCCCTCTCTCTCTGTCACTCCCTCCCTGTTTCCTTCAGCTGGGAGGCCAGTTCATGGTCAGAGTGCAGTGTGTCCTGTGGCCCCGGGGTGCAGCAGAGGCAGCTCCAGTGCAGGCAGAGCTTTGGGAACCGCTCCACCATGGTCCACCCGCAGCGCTGTGCCAACCTCACCCCACTAGAGTCCACGCAGGAGTGTCAGATCGGCCTCTGCTCCCATTGGGAGGTCCGCTCCGACTGGAGCACGGTAGGTCAACAATACCAGTATGCTACTGGGAAATGTATCTGCTAACGGGTCTGCAGTGAAAAGAGGCCAAGTAATGCATCTCAGAGTCTGAAAACACAACAGACTGAAAGTAAAAGAGTTTGTGTGCAAGGAGTTATACTTTTTAACTATGGCAATTTGTCTTATTATAAATTTCAAAAATTCCTTCATCGGGTCAGCATACAACTATTTAAATACTTTTCAAGTCAGAGACTGCTGCAGAATCTTTTTACTCATTTCTCTTTTGCATTTATATGATGTATTTCTGCGCTTATCTCTTGTTTCTGTTTTCCTGCTGCACAACCAACTGCCCTTTGGGAAGAAATAAAGGATTAATTGATTGATAAGCAACTGCAAATCTTTTTTGTCAACTAGTATTTGATCCACTTTAGATTTGAATCAAATAAATAGGTATGAAATGCTTTGTACCGTTTCTTTCATCTGTTTGTAGTCATTCTTGTTTTTCTCCTCTTCATTTGTCACAGTGCTCAGTGGACTGTGGAGTTGGGAGGAGGACAAGGAGTGTGCACTGCCTCAGCGATCAGGGCAGCGTGGTGAACGAAAAAGAGTGCAACTCCGGGGCTCGCCCACAAGGAAGTGAGGAGTGCAACATGGGCCCCTGTGTAACCAACTGGTACTTCACAGTCTGGTCCAACACTGTGAGTAACACACATACACAGAAGCAAAAAGGAAGAAACATCCAGAGCACTCAACAGTGAGCCTCAACCTGATCTTCCACTTTGTCCCTCAGTGTTCGGCGCAGTGTGGCCCTGGGGTGCATAGGAGGGAGGTGGTGTGTCTGACTCGAGCAGGGGTCAGAGAGGGTGGAGGAGGAGGGGACTGTGTTGGGGACAAACCGGCAGAGATGAAGGCCTGCAATGGGGGTCCCTGTTTGCCAACAACTATGTGGTACAGCAGCCCCTGGACACAGGTAGGTTGGAGGAAGAATGAATGAAACACAGAGATGAATGGGGGGGGGGGAAACATTTGATGGACAGAATGTGTACAAGTTGTTTTACTGTATAGAAATTGTAAAACGTGAATCGATTTTAACTCTTGTTTTTTTGCTTTTTGGTTTGTTTCCCCTTTTAAGTTTCTATTATAAAGACATTGTTGTTTTGATGCCTAACACAAATGTTGCATTGTCAAAAAAGTTAGTGCAGAGTGTGCAGGAATTCATATGTTCCTTTCAGTTTCTACAGTACTCGACGTTTTCATTGACCCATAGTGACTTTAATTTGTACTTTAAGTAGTCTTCTGTGTCATCTTACATTTCATTTTATTCATTGAGGTTTTTCATTGATGTATAGATTTTGTATGTTTGTTTTGGAGTAAAAGAGCATTAATATTGCAGTGATAGATCCAATAAACACAGCTACTGTATTCCTTCTTTCAGTGTAATGTCCTATGTGGGAATGGAAGTCAGCGACGAGACATCATTTGTGTCCAGAAGTTGGGGAATGATTTTACGGTCGCACCAGCCCATGAGTGCGCTCATCTGGAGAAACCTGCCGCGGTCCAGGAGTGTGAGATGGGAGAGTGTGAGCCACAGTGGTTCACAACAGAGTGGAGCGCGGTGAGAGCCGATGGGAGAGGGAGCGGGATCTGAGAATAAAATGCTGGAGAAAGAAATGATGCGACAGAACAGACTAAATCTACAAATAATGATTTATTTTAATTAATAACCCTTTTGTTTACACTCTCTTTTTTTCTCAGTGCTCACGTTCTTGTGGAAAAGGCTTACAAATGAGGGAGGTACGGTGTCTGGCACCAGACAAAAAGCACACCCATGAATGTGATTTGAGCACCAAACCTGAACAGGAGCAAATCTGCAACACAATACCCTGCAGTCCACAAGTCGCAGGTGTGTGTGTGTGTGTGTGTGTGTGTGTGTCTGCGTGTCTGCGTGACCATGATATGTATACATATGTCTTTTTCTTTCTTGCCACCAACCTCTTTCTCCGCCTCTCTTTTCATAGATGAAAACTGCCGGGACAGACGTCACAACTGTGTGGTGGTGGTTCAGGCCAGGATGTGCGTCTACTCCTATTACAAGAGCGCCTGCTGTGCCTCGTGTACCCAGAGTGCTCAGCGTGCCAAGAGGCACTGACCAGCCAATCACACAGACAGCCCAGGTGCGCAAGAAGTCAAGGATTAGGTCAAAAGAGCTGACCCCCCCCCCCCCCCCCGAAATAAAAAGTCTGTTGATATGGAAAGCCCAGAGTAGACATAAACCTTGTGGTGGCCGTGAGATAACATTTTGCTAATTCCTCCTGATTCTTCAGGTAAAACACTGTGAAAGCAGCCGGTTCCTTTTTCCAGTTCTCTGTATTCCATGAGTTTGTCTGTTAGAACCACATATTCCACTGAGAGCGCATCTGTTTACTCGTTACGTTAGCTTTAACAGCTTCATAATGTGTCACACAGGGCTGAGTGATGCATTGTTGTGATTATCTTAGGCTGATAGATTATAATGGAAGATGACACCTCTGTGTTCCAACAGCAAATTTAGCCTTTTTTAATGATTATTTTTAATCTACAGCAATTTAAAACAATGCAAACCACTAATTATGAAAAGAGACATGCTGAACAAATAATTACCATTTGTGCTAGATACACTGTGTATGGAAGATCTACTGGAATAGTGTCTCTCTACACTGCAGACCCCCAACTAAGCTAGAAGGACTTCATTAACATATCGTATGTCTTTTTCTGTTTGCCAAAAAATATTTTCTCAAGCGTCCTCTTATTGTTCAGTTCAGTATTTGGACGGACGAACCAAAGGAGTGGGGTGACCATTGCAGTTAGTGACCAAATATATCAGAGCAGGAAGATGTGAGAATCTTCCCAAACAAGTAGGGTAATTAGACATGGATGGTAAACAAGCAGCACAGACTGTGTGAAGTCCTTCGCCGTATCCATGCCAGTTACAGATATATCTTTTTAATGAGTGTTTTTGGAGCTGTGTTTAAATTCACAGGTTTGAAGACTCATAGCTGCAGTTATGTTCTTACTAAAGTCAGCACGATGCTGCTCACTAAATAGACAAAACAATAAAGTGTTCTCCTATACTTTTCTTCTTGTCAACAAATCCCATGAAAAGACCAAACCAGCAATGTGTTAGTCTGATGATGTACATTTTTGGCTCACAAATATATAGTTTCTTTTTTTCAGGGTCAGTCATTTTCTAATTTAGCTGGGATAAACAAGAGAAGAGGTTTATTTTTTGGGGACTGTTTTCCGCTAACACACGTCAGTATTCATGCCACCAGGATCAAAATCTAAAAATGTCCTCCAGTGCATATGTGTGGCTCATTTATACGTTTTAATCGTAGTCGTTTAAATGTCACAGGGATTTGTGGGATTTATTGACAAAAAGCAAAATATAGAATATTTCCTTTAACTACAAACTTGGTGACGGACAAATCTGAAGATGTAAAACGATTCACTAATTTCGCATTTTAGTGATAGCACCATGAGGATTGTGTGGAGGTATGAAACTTCTTCATGTCCTCGAAAGGTATTCATGAAGTATTCATAAATTCTAAGGGCTGGACGAACAAGCATGTAAAATACAGTACGTTTAAAAAGAATAGAGTGCACACTACATAATGCTTCAATGAACATTTAATTGACAGTGGTAATCAATTAGCTGTTCACGGGAGCATTATCTAGTGTGAAGACTCTATTTCTTCCGTCTTTTACATTTTTTTATGTCCTCGCTCTTTTCTCACCTCATCTCATTATCTTCTCTTCTTGCATCTGTTGTCACCTTCATGGGAGGAGACAATGAATCTATCCTTTGAGAGTAGGTGAAGCCATAATTAGAAAAACCTCGTGTTGACTGAGAAAGCTGCTTTCTTACAAGAGTCTTTTAATGAGTTAGTTTATGATACAGATCAAATGCCATCATTCTGCTTTGACCTGGAAGTAAATATTTTTGCATTCTGAGGCGGCAACCTCTGTATGTGTGTGTAGGTACTCGTTATGCCTTTTCTCTCTTTCTCTTATATCGACTGTTTTTACTTGGCTCTTTTTCTCTTCCTACACCTCCCAAGAAGACATACACACACATTACACCCTGCCCACTCAAAGGTGAGGAGTCTTCATATTTGTCAGATATGTTTTAATGTCTATATTTGTTTTGGAACATAGTAAGCGCTTGTGTTTTATAGAGAAGTGTTGTTGTAGACTGCATTTAATCACATCTAACTGTCGTATAACTATTTTGCATTTGACAAGAGAATCTGTGACTTTATCGTACGTGTGAGTTTTGGATGTTTGTGTGTGTTTGTGTGTGTGTGTGTGTGTGTGTGTCTGTGTCTTCATGTATGTGTGTATATGGTTGCGTGTTTTGCGATCGTGGCTTTGAATGTGTCATTCTTGTCTCTAATCCCTTGTAGTAAAAATTACTTTTTATATAAAAACAAAAAAAGGATAGTAATTTATCTATTATCGAAAGAACATGTAATTTATTTTCTTGTTTTAAGAAGCTGTAGCAAAATGTTTTTGTTACCACCAGAGTATATAAGATTGTTATTGTTGATACACAGATGTTTTTTTTTTATCATGCAAAAACAAAACAAAGTGTGTAAAGATTATTATGTCAAAGCTTCATTTTAAATAAAACAACACAGAAATGAAGTCGAGTGTCATGTATACTTTTGCCCAGTGACTAAGGGTGATATAGCCACTTTCCTCCAAACGATGGCACCGTTGAGTCTCATACGTGAATGAGCAGGCCTCGTTTTCTAAGAATGGAGTGGCCTACAGAGCAAATGTCTCTTTTTGGTATCAAGCCTGCATTGTGACGAGTTCTTTTTAAATAGTGGGGTTTTTTTCAGAATATTGAATGAGCAAAGTTGATGTGGTCATCCGAAAGATATTTTGATTAATTACTGTATTTAACGATTTGACGTGGAAGTTTCTTGATACATTATGTTACCTGGTCAAAATGGCATCATAAAATCAATTCACGAAATCCATCATGAAGCATTTTATCATATTAATGTCTGATACCAAAGAAGCTTTTCCAAACAAAGTTAATTATGCAGACTAGTCCAAGCCCACAGTGCATAACACGAAAAAGCATTCTTTGACAAGTACAGAAAGCTCAGATGTGTCTTGATGCCTGAAGTGTAAATGTAGGAGTGGCTGTAAGTTTAAGAGTTCAAAAGAGCCAATGGTAAAACTAAGAAGAGTTTGGAAGTTTAAAGGTCGTAGCCACTTTGTTAAACTAAACTTTTGCTAAAGTATAATAGAAATGTGCATTTAAGAGCAGTGTGGTTGGATGCTGGTGTACCAAGTGGCAGTCCCCATATAAAGAGATACTCAGGTCATGAGTCCGAGTCAGTGTTATTTTCTAACACCGGGGTGGGTCTTAATGCTGTTTCAAAGCCTTATCAACACTTTACACAATACAGTTCTGTTGGACAAATACTATTTTGGTGTTAGTCAGTTATTTAAATGTACTACCTTACTTTACTGAGTGTCAAAATACTGAAATCCGTCTCTAAAATATCCATCATGTGCAGGTCTTGAATTGTAGAATGTAACTTATGGTTATTTCTGTAGGATATTTATTGAATTTTGGACAATTGTTTCATAGGCCCAGACCATTGATATTGACCTAAATCATCATTTGTAAAGTTCCATGAAGCCCTAACTGCAGTGTCTACAAGATAGACAAATACCAAATTGTTGCCTGAAGGTGCATGTAGGAATAGTCTGCTTTGGTTACAAAAAAAAATCTGAGTAGCATAAAGTTGAGGTTTTCCTTCATCAACATCGCTGCTCTCACGCTTGCTTGCGTGCTAGCTGTTTCCTCTCCATCGTGCAGGGAGGCTTAGCGGCTCCAGCCTGCACGCCGTTGACGTCCTCATGGCGCGGCGTGCCTCCTCTATCGGTGCCGGTCTTGTTAAGAAAGCCCCTAGTGTGGAGAGATACATGCAAGTGCGTGTGTGTGTGCGCGCGCTGTGTGGGAGGGGTGTAGCCTACATGGTGGATGAATCTGGCGGGGGCTGCTGGCTCACAGAGGGCACGAGGCAAAGCAGGCAGATGGTGACCTTTTGGAGTAAATTACCATGAACCCGATGACTCTCTCTTTTCACTCATAGGCCTATATCTCCCCTTCCAAGATTCTCTGCACGCACGCACACATCAGAGATAATTTCTCGGAAAATGTGACTGTTAGTTTGTTTAGCATTCAAATTGGACGCTGCCTGCTTTTATACCACAGTGAAATAGCCCAATGTCGGCCGGTTTTTCAAAGTAGGCCAACTCCAACCCCGAGCGATCTCTCCTTCTCTCTGTCACACATTTTACTCTGTGTGGGTGTGAGCGTGATTTCGGGCTCGGGCGTGAACAGCTGTAGTAGTCGTGACTGCGTGCTCGTCGGCGGCGGCGGCGCGCTTCGGATTCACGTCAAGAGGCATCGTTTCAGCACCAAGGCCAGTGCTCGCGGCTAGAACAATAGGCGGCTTCGCGCACGGTCTCGCCTAGGCATCGTGTAAAAAAAGTTTCACAAGCAAACCAAGGGTTTAAAAACACTACTAATACCTGTGAAAATTACACGAATATAATATCAAAACAGTACATATAACACTGACTTTAACAAGTGCAGACGTACAAGTAACTGAGTGAGTAGGGGGACACCTTTTATTTTATTCTTCGTGTAAGTGATGCAGACATATTTGTTGACGGTCCCTGGGAGTTACGTCACACGCTTGCTACAAGGAGGAGGGGGAGGGAGAGAAAGAGAGGAGAGGAGATACCGGCATTGGACGTGAAAAGCCATCCAGCCGTTGAACGGGTGAGACGCAACAAGAAAATAGAAAATAGCCAGAATAGAAAGTACATCACCTCGATTACCGGTTGGAACAATAAGCGCGAGACTGAAAAAGACTAACTGTTGCGGCTGGTTATCCTGTTATCACTTTGTAATTAATTAGGAATTAAGAGTGGGGTTTTGGGGAAAGTTATAACTAACTAGCCGGACGTCCACTCTGGATTTTGAGAGTCGAGAGGTTGGTAATATTTCAGCGGGACCACCGGTGACGAGCTGTGGTTTTGGACTCACCTGCGAGGACTCTCCGCCAACTCCAGACCTCCAGACCGGGAACACCGGAGGGGGGGCTTGTTAAAAACACAACCGAGCCTCTATTATCTGTACACGGAAGAGGAGGAGGAGGAGGAGGAGGAGGAGAGGGAGAGTTCGGCAGGCACAAAGAGCGAAGAGCATCCAGAGAGAGAGAGAGAGAGAGAGAGAGAGAGGGGAGGAAAGGAAAGGAAAGGAAGGAGGACGGGACTGAGAGAGAGAGAGCGGTGAGGACAACAACGGGGACCCAACAGAGAGCATCCCTCTTTAGTTTCTGATCGGCACAGGAAACACTCTGAACAGCATCATCTGAACACGGTAAGAGCTCTTTGATGTATTCTAGTCTGTATATTTCTCTGTGTTGTTTTGATCCGGTGTGTGCGTGCGCGCGGGCGCGCGTGTTTGTATGTGTATGTGTATGTGTACATTGAGGGGGGATCGGACAAAGAGCCAGGGAGCCCCATGACATCCTACATGCTGTAACCTACAGCTGGCTAAACAAAGAACCCGCTCCATGATTTACCCCCAATCATGCTGTTTTTATTTTATTTGTAGGGATCCGGAACGCTGCTTATCCACCAAAAGGTAATGAATGCTCACAGATATATTTTCGATATATATTTATATAATTGGAAGGGAAGGGGGGGGAAAGTCCCATTATTGTTTTATGATTGGCTAATTAACATTTGCATAATTGTTTTACCAGAAGCTACTGGAGCCCTTTGTCATGAGGCTAGACAATAAATACTCAAAATGATCACGCAAATAATTTATATATATATATTTAAATAATTGAGGCACACATTTTATATCCTAAGAGCATATTCAAATAAGAAAGTTAATTCAGAAAATATATAGATTTATTTTTTGGTATTCTTATTTTTTTTTTTAAATCATAAAACTACAAATATACACAACAATACAATAATGTAACAAATTACATATTATAAGTAAAAGCCCCCGAGGGAATACTACTCATTTTATTGCGATACCGGTAGTTTTAAAGTCTACAATGTGTAATAATTACAAATAAATTATTACTTATACCACAGACATACCATAAGAATATGACATTTTTAGGACTATTATTGTGTTATTGTTGACTTCTGTGACCCAAAGACTCATCCAGCATCGGTTGCTCCTCTCCAGGGATACCTGCTCCTGATCTGTTTGCCTCCCCTATAGCTCGCTGCTACACCCAGTCCTCCTCTCCACTCTGTCCCGATGAAGGAGGCCGACGCCATCAAGCTGTTCGTGGGGCAGATCCCCCGAAATCTGGAAGAGAAGGACCTCAAGCCCATCTTTGAGCAGTTTGGCAAGATCTATGAGCTAACTGTGATTAAGGACAAATACACAGGCATGCACAAAGGTATAGGTCTTTGCATATACAACTTTAACAGAGAAAGACAGATGTGATACCAGATAGATAAACGTGTGACAGGAAGGCAGATATATGGGTGGGTTCTCCTGCGCTGAGTCACATGTCACCATGGAAACGGTCACACCTCCTCTCGTCTCCATCTCCCGTTAACAACGTGAGATCATGAAGACGGGGAGAACAGAGTCGGCTAGTATGCTTGTGTCTGATATAAAGGCGCCATATATGGTTGGGAGACTTCTAATCGTGTTAATAATTAGGAGGCTTTAAATAACGGCCTCATCTAACAATAGATAGGTAATAAACGGTAGCAAACGCACACACACACACACACACACACACACACACACACACACACACACAC